CGATCAGACTATTCATTTAACCGGTAAATAAATATAGTAAAATCAGCTCAACCGAGTCATCCCGCTTCACGTATTATCCAACCAACATCATTGTTAGGGAAAAGCTAAATGTTACAATTTAATGTCATTTAAAACAATTACTTAGTTTCATTTTAAGGCATTAGTGTAGCCAGAAAAATACCTAAAAAGATACCAAAATTCACACGTTATTAAAGTGAAAAATGGTTAAATTTTGGCATGGATAACACTCAATATGCTATATAACTTTTTTCATGATTTTAAATGTAAAAACAAAGATTTATCTTAGGCTATCATAAGTGTGTTTTTTTTCGTGAAATTGTAAAACCATCATAAACCATTATGTTACTAAGCCTACCGTAATTTTATTTCTTAATTATTTAATTTATTAAGCCTTTTTTAATAGCTTGTTTTCAGGTTATTTTCATTTTAGGGCCATGAGCTACAAGTCAAAACAAACTCGATATGTTGTATTTTAGCTCTTAAAATAGATCTACAATATATTTTGTTTAATTTTGCATGAGCAAAAAGCTGTATAGCCTAAATGACATATTTTTAAAAGATTATCATTCTGCTTACCTGCAGCGCGTGAGAGGTTTCTCAGTTGATCCGCGATAAATCCACTTAAGCACTATATTCCATTTATAACACTGCAAACTTGACTTAATAAACGCAAAAGGCATTTATTATGTGTTATACCTTGACTGCTGCTGCATAATGGGATGTTTCTCTACACAACTGTAAAAGTGCGCTTTTTAGCTAAATGAAAGCAAACATTCAAAGGGTTCTGCGTTTTGTCAATTTTAGTTTAATTGTAATAATATTAATAATAATATTAATAAATAAAATTAAAATATTATTTATAGTGTAGCCTACTGTGGGACTGTGCAGTAAACTATTTGTTTTTATTAAAACATTTTTATTAGGCTACATCTTCCCGAACTAAATGACTGGCAGTTGCGTCTCTGCTAAAATGAATTTAACAGCAAATTTCTTATGTGTTTTTTCCTTTTAGAGCTCAAGAGAGTTGTGTTTAAATAATTAGTTAACCAAAGCATGTAATGAATTAAGCTGCTTCTATCATGTCACCCACTTTTCTCCGTTGAGAGTTGAGTGCGCCTCCATCGCCGTGTGCGCGTTTTAAAGGCTATTTACGGCTGCACCTGACCTGACGCGGGGACCGGATCTCTGAACTATAGGACTAGCTTTAATATCACTATTTTCATAATTCAATTGCTATGTCATATATTTTAAAATATTTAAATGTGTGTTCTTAAGGTTGGAACGACGAGAGTGTTAATAATTAATGACAGAAAGAATTTTCAGTTTGAGTCTTTTATAAAAACTGGGGAGGCACAAACTCTTTCTGAGGGGGCAATGCCCCCCTTTTCTTTAAATTCCAGTGGGATTAAATGGGAGTACTTTAAATTTAAAACAAGGGAAATTTCTATTCGGTTTGGTAAACAAAAGAGAAGCGATATATTGCAAAAAGAATTAAGAATAATTCAGGAAATTAATGATTGCTGTAACACACGATAAGGTTAAAGATGTGGAAAAGTGAATCACTCTTCAAGCTAAATTAGACAGCATGTATGTAATGAAAGCACAAGGAGCTTTTGTAAGGTCTCGGGCAAAATGGATGGAAGAAGGAGAGAAGAACACAGCTTACTTTTGTCAATTAGAAAAGAGGAGACAGCAAAGTAATGCAATTCATACTTTAGTTATTAAGGATACAATAATTACGGATTCTAAACTGATATCTGAGGAAATATATTCATTTTATAGTTATATTTTTTCTACATCATATTCTGAAAATAATGCTATTCAATTTCTAGAAAAGGTTAAAGATTATATCCCACAGATAGATATTGAATTTAAAGAAATGTGTGATGAGGATTTGAAGCTAGAGGAACTTAAAGCAGCTATTAAAAAAATGTGTTTGGGTAAGTCTCCTGGTCAGGATGGTTTGACTACTAACTTCTACAAATTTTTTTGGGAGGATATAAAACATTTGTTATTTGCAGCATTAAAATAGTGTTTTAATTCTAATACTTTACTTACAACTATGAAACAGGGCTTAATTATTCTTATTCCAAAGGCAAACAAAGATAAAAGAATTATTGAGAACTTGAGGCCGATTACTCTACTCAATGTGGATTATAAAATTCTTACATCTGCTATAGCTAATAGATTGAAATTTAGATTGAATCAAGTTATAAGTGAAACTCAGTCTGGTTTTATTAAAGGAAGGCTAATTCACAACAACATTAGACTTGTCTTAGATCTAATTGATTATGGACATTTAATTAAAGAGGATGGGTTTGTTTTATTTCTTGACTTCTACAAGGCATTTGATACTGTAGAACATAATTTTATTTTGAATTTTTTTGGTTTTGTTCATAAATTTGTTAAAGTAATAGAAATGTTATATAAAGACATAAATAGTTCAGTATCATTACCATTTGGGACTTCGAAGAGGTTTAACATTAATAGAGGCATCAGACAAGGGGATCCAACAAGCCCATATTTATTTATTTTAGTAGCTGAATTATTAGCATTGTATGTTAAAAATTGCAGAGCTATCAGAACTTTGAATGTTTTAGGGAGTCAATTAATAATAAGTCAACTAGCAGACGACACCACCCTGTTTCTCAGTAATGCAGAGCAGATTTCAGTTGCCATTAAGCTGGTGTCTCATTTTTCAAATGCTTCTGGTCTGCAATTGAATTAAAAAAAATGTGAGCTTATGGCAATCCATAACCATACCGAAACACAACTGTTCAATATTCCAGTTAAAAATGAGGTAAAATACTTGGGTGTTGTTATTTCTAAAGACCCTAAAGATAGGGAAAAAGCTAATTTGATGGATAATTTGATAAAAAGTCAAAAAATATAAAATTTGTGGGTTCAAAGGGATCTATCTATTTTTGGTAGAATTGTTTTACAAAAGTCAGAAGCACTTTCCAGGATGATTTACCCAGCTTTTTCTTTAAGTATTTCTGATAGGTACGTTAAAAATCTGAATCAAATGCAATATAAATTTCTATGGAAAAATAAGCATCATTTTCTAAGAAAATCAGATGTAGTGAAACCAATCATTGAAGGTGGATTGAATGTAATTGATTTTGATGTTATGAATGGTACCCTTAAGCTGAAGTGGCTTCAAACCTTCCTTCGACATAAACATTCTTTCTGGTTTAGGTTTTCTTCTAAAATTTTTTATTTCTTTGGGGGCATAGACTTTCTTTTAAGATGCGATTTTGAGCCATCAAAGTTAAAGTGTAAATTGTCATCTTTTCATAGTCAGGTATTACAGTATTGGAAGTTAATATACAAACATAATTTTTCGCCACATAGCTGTTCTTTGTGGAATAATAAGTATATACTTATTAAGAGGAAATCTGTGTTTTTTCAAGAGTGGATGGACAAAGGTGTTTGGTCTATTTTACAAATTTTGGATGGGGTTGGAAATTTCCTTAATTATGATGATTTTTGTGAAAAATACCATATTATTTGTACTTAGAAATTGTATTTGTCTTTGTTGAAAGCTATTCCTGGTGGTTTGGTTCAGCTAATCAAAGGGGAATTGGGTTATTCTTCTGTGATACCAAGATTGGGCAACCTTATTATTTCTGGTATTAATTTTACTGGGCAGAGCTGTAATAATAAGACCTTAAGAAGGTTAGTAAATACACAGCTTTTCCCTTCTAAAGTTAAGAAAAGACCCCTTGTTTTAGATTTTCCAGAAGACAAGGTGGTTCGAATTCGAACAAGATTTCTCTCTTTTCCACTTCTACCAAAGGCAAAAGAAGTTCAGTTTAAAATTATTAACGATATTTATCCTTGTAATGAGTTCCTCAGACACAGATTTAATTTGGATTGTAACGTTTGTACCTTTTGTGAAGCAGACATAGAGTCATTGGAACATTTGTTTTATTTATGCAAATTTTCAAAAAAGTTATGGGATGACATTACTGTTTGGTTAAGATTAAAATATGTAATACCTGATTTTGATTTTAAAACTGTAAAATATTGATCTTTTTGTCAGAATTCTGAGCTGGAATTTTTGGTTAACAATATTGTGACTTTGGCAAACTATTTCATTCATAAATGCAGATTTTTTAATAACCCCCCCACTTTTCTGCGTTTCCACAAGGATTTAATGGTCTTCTTCAATTCCTTAAAGCTGATGAGACATAAAAAAGCCCTTAAACTGTGTAGTCTGTTAAAGGCATTTTTTGATGATTAACCCCTTTGTATTATAGTGCATTGTATTTTGCTTTTTATTTATTTCAATTTTATTATTTTTTAAATATATATTTATTTGTTTTTTTTTTATCTGTTTTTTTGTGTGAATGCTGCTATTTGGACTTTCTAGATGAATAAGATGTTTCTTTGTTCGGTCATTTGTTCTTTTTTCTGTATGTTCTTATAAGATCTAATAAAAAAAATAAAAAAACTATTGCACCATCAAAAAAAAAAACAAAAAAACTTTAAAAAGGAAAAACAAATCGCCAATAGGTGGCAGCAAGAGACCGCTTTAATCGAGTGAAGCTTTAAGTGATTCATTCAGCCACGAATCACTGATTCAGTGACTCGCCCGACTTTATACAGAGTCCTGAATTATTCGTGTAAGGAAACGCCACTGTGTATTATTCAGAGATGGCTAACTGTTCTGCTGTTTATTTTATTATTATCATTGTAATGATTTCACTATTATTTATGAGAAAATAACGCGGAAGTTTTTTAGCGCCTCGTCACGTGATCGTCAGCATCCATGGCAACGGTTCTTTTTGTGTTGTTTTGAACTTGCTCTGTCATTGGCATCTGATCTCGGCGTCCTTCGTGGCAACTGATTCCCAGATTATTGATATTATTGATTGTTGGATACATCGATTGATCGCCTGCTGCTCCCTTCATTCAGGTTTGACCCTTGTTATCACACTGTGTTTTGTGTTTAGTATGTCTTGTGTTCATTACAGGTTTCAGAGTCGACTCACCTACGACTCGCTCCAGTTTGAGGGCCTCAACATCACTGTGGGAGAGCTGAAGCGGCAGATCATGAGGCGCGAGAGGCTGAAGTTCTGCCAGCTGAAGATCAGCAACGCCCAAACTGATAAAGGTGAGATGAGGAAAAGCCACTTAAACTATAACAGTTACTATACTAACATTAGATGTGTTATCAGACAGACTTGTAGAAGCTGACATGAGTTATCATGACTCTGATGGTGACATATAGTGATGTTTTGAGTGTTTTAAAATGCTAATGGCACTCAAAGTATACCATGGTAAATGATTATTACTATATTCAAACTTTATTTTGCTGTCAGAATACACAGATGATGATGCTCTCATCCCCAAAAACATGTCGGTCATCATCAGACGGGTCCCTGCGGCTGGACTGAAGTCCTCCAGCAGAAGATTTGTTGGGTAAGTCATGTGAAATGAGCGCAATCATCCTCTGATAGATGTTATATCAAGAGTTTGAGTCTGTCTGTGGTGTTTTAGTCACACAAGCTCCTTTGTTTTGCAGACATCAAGCTGGACCATCAGCTAAATCTTCTCAAACAGGTGATTCTTCACTCCTCTCACTGGAGCAGCTGTTGAAGGTATTGAACAAATGATTAATTCACCCCACTGTGCTGCTCTGTATTGAACTGCAGTGTTTGCATTTGAGGAGTCATAATGACATGTAGTGCAGAATATCAATACTCAGTGTAAAACACCCCCCCCCCCCCCCCACACACACACACACACACACAGCTTCTTAAACAGACAAGTAAAATAAAATTCTAATGTGCAAATGCCTGTGAAACAGACTGAGAATTTGGCTGAGGCAAAGGCATCAGAGGAGGACAAGCTAAAAGCGGTGATGTACCAGTCCAGTCTGTGCTACTACTCCAGCAGGTGAGCGTTCAGACACTGACAGGTTTGGTTTGTGAGAAATGTTAGAGCTGATTCTCATGGTTCTGATGTTTATCAGTGAGGCCATGACACTGCTTGGGCTTCTTCCACCCAACTATGTCTGCTTTCACTGTGGGATCCCAGGACACCACATTAGGCACTGCCCCTCTAAAGGGGTAACTGGGTTTTCTAAGCTTATGGTTGATGTGAACTTGAGCTCTTGTCTCCATCAGTCAGATTGTTTGCTCTGTCGTTTGACTGTCACTCATGAATTCACAGGGCAGCAGCTCTGCTTCGCACAAGCGCATCAGGAGGAGCACAGGGATTCCCCGCAGCTTCCTGTTGGAGGTGGACGACCCAAACCGAAAGGGAGTCATGATGGACGGCAGCGGCAAATACGTCATTCCCATCATAGACGCGTGAGTAAACTGTACTTGGCATTGCAGCATGTTTTAGTGTTTGTGAAAATCACACATTATGTCTGCTTGTGTGTGTTTGCGCTCGATCTGTTCAGTGAGGCCTATGCTGCTGAGAAGAAAAAGAGGCCGTCCTTCTCCTGCCAGACCAAGCCGCTGTCCTCCTCTTCCTCAGCTGGTGCAGCATCTTCAGTCCAGGACGCCAGAGGGAAACGTTCCCGCTCCCCATCTCCACCAGAGACGCACGGAGACCAGAAGAGACCACGTCACTGAGAGACCTTCACCCAAGAGACCTGGAGCCGACGTGAGCACAGTGTATATATTGTACATAGTTTATGAATAAAACTGAATAAAGATTATAGCAGCATAAACTGTGGACTGGTTGACCTTCACACAATACAGAAGCACAAAAGAAAATGATCAACACATTAAGATAGAAATGATGAACAAACATGCTGCGGGAGAACCAGTGTGCTGTCCTGCTCAGAATCTAAAACTTTTAGTTAAAGTTTATTTCAGAGGTGCTTCAGGGAAACTTTTTCTTATGAAAGGCCAAAAACTAAACTCGTCTGAGGGTGGTGGGCTGGAGGTAAATCTACCAAACTGTAAAATTTTCAATGTAATTTCCTAATTTATTATTATTATTCATTATATAATTTACATGATTCACTGAATACTGTAATTTACAACATTTCAAATTCTTTAATTGTATTAATAATTATACATTTTATAATGAATGAAACTCTTACAATAAAACATGAACAATCCCATTTATGACACTAAAATACACTTTGCCTTCGCTTGCTGATGTCTTCTGTAATGTCTGCTCTCCTTCAAGTGACTATTATTTTATTTGATTCATTCACAACATTTCATTGAAACGTTTAATTTCAGTTTGTTTATTTTTGTATCTCAACAGTTAAAAAAACAAAAGTTATGTTGTATTAGAAATGACAATCTCTGTTAAAGACTTTCCCCCAAAACTCCCCATCATTCTCCCTCTCTTCTCAGATGGGATGGAGGGCCAAATCAAAGGTTACAGTGGATCCACTTTGGCCCACGGGCCCTAGTTTGGGCATCTCTGGTTTACACCGATGACATGCTCATCTAATCAATCCTGGCCAAACAAAATGTTGCAGCTCATGTGGTCTTCAATGATCCCAAGAGAGCCCACGTCACACCTCTCTTACCTCTCCACTTACACTGGCTGTCAGCTGAAGGTTCAAAACATCTCCACTTGCTACTTGCTACACTTGCCCCTCTGTCCAGAAGTGAGCACTGCCTCTTAGAACCATGCCATCAAGGATTTGGGGGTGTTTAACCCTTCTGTGCAGTTGGTGAAGTTTTGGTCCACTCTGGGCTGATTTTGAGGCTTAATTTACCAACAACTTTCTCTGTGGTTCAGCAAATGAGATGATTTTTGGTGACAAATCTTGTTGACACATATTTTGGGAAAATACTTTTAGAATTTTTAAAAAACTCAACAACACACTCTGAGCAAATTTACCACCCTTTCATTGTGTTCATGGCTGTTTTTGCCTAAATGATTTCCATTATTTTTAAATGCAACGTCATGACAGCGTATAATCATGCATTCTTGATTGTTGGTGGTTTTTCCTGTTGGGAAGAGGTAAGATTTGTGATTTTTACTGTTGATCATCAGTTACAGTTCAAAAAAGCTTGATTTCTTGCTTTTATTTGGTGTTTAGTGAGTGTGTGAGGTTGTAAGAGAGACTTTTACACACATATATTGATGTGTAGGAGAAAATACAAAATAGGCACCTCAGCTGTCAGAACATAGTAAACATAGTAAGTGTACTTATGCATGCACTCTATAAATTGCAGTTTTACTCCACAGAACTCCATATAAAAGTCAGACACGCTTTTGCACAGGGCAATGTAAAGGATTTAATGGTGCCAACTGATGATCAACAGTACAAATGAAATTTGACCTCTTCCTAAGTGGGAACCCACTAACCAGAGTTGCTGCTGGTCAAAAGGAGACCCTAAGATAATTTTTACTGCAGTGCTTCAGCAGAGAAACAAAAACACACAAACATATGTATTTAAATGTGTATTCATTTATTATATATAAAAATATGCATATAAACACTCAACATTAAATGTTTCATAAAATAACAGTTTACGTCAAAATAAACACTGACATGTCTTCTGCAGAAGGATTCCTAATTGCAAACATTTACAAAGGTTGTCATAAAACCCTGTCTGAAGCTGTAGAGATAGACGGTCCTCGGTGCTGCATGCTGTATCTGTAACGGTCAGCTGCTGGGCCCGTTTTTTCAAAAGGTTTAATCCGGATCAAATTGATCCAGATTTAGTAATTCTGTTTTTGCGATCCGTGATCAGGTAATCCAGCTTACTTTTTGAGCCAGTTTTTCAGAGCAACATCGAATTGGATCAAACTGATCCGGATAGGAACTTTTCAGAATCACTAAATCTGGATTACCAGTGCTCAAACAGGATAGGACATCACAATGTAGAACTATAGATATGTAAAGAGCGACAAGTAGAATAGCCAGCGTGGGGTCAACATAACTTTTTTTTTTTAAATGAAAACTTAATAAATATTAAATTAATAATAATAATAAATAATAAAAACAAGAAAAACAACACCACATCCTCTTCCAGCATTCCACTCATCTGAGACCTACAACACAAACACTGTACATTGAGGATATTTATAATAAGTTTCAAATATAGATGTAAATAAAAAAAAGACTTAATGTCAAAAACTCCACAATAATCTCAGACTTCCTCATCTGATGTGGAGAGAGCAGCTTGTCTGAGCGTAGCCTTTAGGAGGCGGATCTCATGTCCTTGGCCTTGGTTTGCTGCAGTTTGGTCAGAGTCAGTTGTTCCCCCGCCAGACGAAGCTGTGCTTCTGCCCTTTCAGTCTCTTTTTGCAATTGTTGAAAGAGATTTCAAAAATCAGTCATTGCCATTCTTTGCATTTTTTGTTTATTCTGTAATCATTACTATCATCACTAATAAATATTCTAAAAAGAAAAATATTTTTCATTGTGATGAATATATATATCAATTAGTGACAAAATAAAATTGATTGTTTTTGGTCAATTTTCACAGCTGTTTGGGGGATTATTTTATGAGGCCAAACTCTTTCTACGTTGCTGGAGGCCTATACTGAAAGGCTAAATACATTAAAGCCAATAATCACTATAGCCTGACGGATGAACAAATAAAATTAAAACCTTATGAATAAATAGTATATATCGTAAGATACTGCATGATCCAAAAATAGTATTATTTTATACATTTTTTAAGTTTTCATTACATTTTAGGCATGAAATCCACGCTAAATCCACCCTTCTGATGGGATCAGTTTAATCCAGGTTTTTTGGATCAAAGTGATCCAGATCCTACAAAAAAGGTCTGAAAAACCCAAACTAAAGGTTTGATCTAGATCAAACCAAGATTAGATTACGTGATCTAATCCGATTAGGTAATCCGTTTTTTTCTTTTGATAAACCCATTTTCAAGATTTGATCCAATCCCTTATCCAAAATCCTAGTGGATTACTTTTGAAAAACCGGGCCCTGGTATCAATTTTCAAAACTCTAGATACAAAATTCACAACCATTGCTAAAATTGCACATTTTTTTGCAAAACCCTTAACTCTTTTTTCAAATGCTTGGATAAAACACACACAAGTCAAAAATACTTTGTTCATTGAACTCAGATCACCTTTTCAATATAACACAATTAAACTTCAAATTGATCCCATTTCAAAATGCAACTCAAACATTACAATTGAAATAACCATATATTCATTTAATTAACATGTTGTTATTATCAACTGATACAAGCACTCAAAATAATAATTAACTGTTGCATTACTCTGGATGTATAGAAACTTTTGTACAATATTAGATGTTTAGATGATGAAATAATCAGGATAGATCAAATGACATCAGTTACCACAGAAGATGACCCAACTGAACTACATTATCTATAGATGACATCTTTATTCATACTTAATTTTTTATATTTATGGTTACTTTGTTCCATGTACCACTTTTACAGACAATGTTTTTATATTTGACATTACTGTATGTATGTGAGAAAGCCCAATCACAGCAATATCAGGCCTGGATTCACATTGACAGAAGGTTCTTTCCAAGATTTTTGACTTATGAAAACACCACTGTGATGTAGAGGAGAACCAAACCCACAAGACCAGAAAGATGGAAACCCAGATGCTAAAATAGAAATCTGATATATAGAAATATATGCAAATTACATATGTGACATAATAGTTCATAAGAATTTTACATATATAAAATGTCATACATGTCAAAATATTGCCATTTTTTACAGTTTTTCTTGTTTGCTTTGACCTGGTTAAAGAAACTAGGTTCCACTTCATTTTCATTTTCACTATCCCAGCAGAGCAGAAGACAGGTCTTGCAAATTTGTAAACCTTTTCTCATTGGGTTGACACATTTTCCTTAGCATTTTTCAAAACAGTTAACACAGATGTCATTCAAGCAGTCCAAACTCCATTGTTTTAGCTATGGTAACCAAACAGAGACCATCTATTCCTAACCATTAGACACTACCAAGATCAGTTTGAATTCACTGAAGCAGCGATTTGAAACTCCTACACTCAAGTCTTCAATTAGCAATCAGTCTGCAAACCTTATATAAATGGTGGAAGGTCTGTGTTGTTCTGTGCCAGCATGGATGGAGGAGGTCAATAGTGGCTATGTCCTATACTCCCAAAAGATTTGACTGTATATTGGTTTAAATGTGTTTAATATTTACAGTATTTTATTACTTTTGTCTGTTTTTACAGTATTTTAGTTTTCAGCCACAGTTTGAAAATTGTCATGAATTCAATATAAATTTAATCAAAGCATTTCTTATTCTGGATCCAATTCTTTGCAAAAAGGCCAACTTGACGGCCCAAATAGAAAGACAACAAATGGCATTGGCAATAGGCTACAATGACAATCAATGGTGGTGCACTGACTTCTATATTTTGTATTTTGTTGTCCATTGTGTAATGATTAATTCAAAGAGCTCATATATTTGTTTGCAAGTTGTGTTGTTTGAAGGTAAAACTAGCTTTTGTTTCATATTTTAAATGTTTTGACACGATATGTGCCTTTTGCAAGCAAAATGTGTCATTTTGACCATGAGTGCTGCTGTTTAGGCCTGTGTGTCTACTGTTTTGAAAAGGTGAAGTTTCAGTTGACAACTGCATCCAAGCAATCGAGAAAAACTGTGACTATTAGAATTACAAATATAAACATGTATGTTACGTGTATATATATATATATATATATATATGATCTATTATGTTATATATTTTACCCCTAAAAATAT